GAGACATAACAACAGGACGAGGAGCCCGGGCCGGCTCGAGCTGGGGCGGACTGGTAGTGTCGGTGCTCTCACTGTTTGTCTATAACACAGACATAGAGTCTGTTTTCTGACAGGAATTTACAAGATCAATTCTGGAAGAAATCTCTGAATCAGTTGAGGAAACGGCCTTACGTGTTGAAGTAAATATGTCTGTAAATAGAGGACCTTAGTGGGAGTGGCCTGTGGTGCTGTGCATTCTGGGATTTGGTGTCTTTCATCCACATGAGCCAAAAAGACACTTTCTGCCTTTTCTCGGTCAAGAAGGCTCCAACTTCAAAATGTATTTCACATTTCTACATATATGACCCAATGTCAACACAGATTCATGTTTCAATGGGTGAAGTATCCCTTTAAGTATTCTACATTGTCATATTCATAATCTACATATCACTTCATATATCATCAGAGCTGAAGTATAACCGTCTTTCCTCGCTCTCTGTCTCGCTCCATTTGCCCTTGAATTGTCGGCTGCTCTAATCGTCTTTTAAATAAAAAAAAAAGGTTTTTTTTTCCCCAGGCTGCACTTTCCTGCAGAGCGATGAGAGCAACAAAACAAACGTGTTTATCGGAGAGCGTGATTTTTTGGCAGCTGATGATCAAACAGCTGCAGGTGGAAGAGACGCGGGGATAAACATTTATCTCTGCACAGATTTTCAGCGTTGGCAGAGTCAGTGAGTGTCGGATAGATTCAGGACTTTACAGAACAACATATGAAACGTGTTGATTGCTGCCGTCACTTCAGGCAGATGGTACTTTTGAATCCAGCTGTTACAACCGAGCAGCTGGCAGGTCCAGTTTTGGAGACTCTATAAATTAACGCAACACTTACTGATGTTTGTTTGTGGGTTTTTGATGAAGCTCTGTTTGGGAAGCTGTTAAAATAAAGACGGGGGGGGGGGGGGGGGTTCAGCATGTCAGGGAAGCATCAAACAGAAAAACAGAAAGAGGCTGACAGTTCCTCCTGTCCTTCCTGATCCCATTTCTGAGACTGAACATGTTTTCACATAAAGATCATGTCAAGGGGACTTCTCTGGATATATTCCTGACCTTGTTGGTCACATAAGCCCAGTTACCACCAAGCGGTCTGGTTCAGTACGGTACACATTTATTGTCGTTTCCACTGTAAAAACTTGGGAATGGTCCCAAAATAGTCCTGAGTATACTTGCTTTAAACTAGGCAAACGCAAAACATATGCCTCGTGTATCACGCGGGGGTTTGGAGCGTTGGTTGTACATGTTAACGTTGTGCGGGGTGCCGGTGGTGCAGTGGTTTCTTTTATGTAAAGCGTCCCTTTGGTTTGATTCGTTGCTGTATACATATAGATTGATCAGCGACCACATCGTCTTGTTTTTAGCCACACCAGCGGATGTTTCATCATCTCCTCAGGACTCCTGCCCTCACAAAGACAAACGGACGCACTTTACGACCTCTCGCCCCGCTGTGACCGCTCACACATCAGACACTAAACTAAACAGGATTGCTGCAGCCACCACGGCCGACTCTCCCCTTCAGATAAACGAGCCTCTCTTTGTGCTCTCAAAATCCTCATCATGTGTTTCATTCTCATCATCACTTCCAGGCTGCTGCTGACGATGTTTTCTCATTTTTTTAAAACGCACTCTGGCTGATTCAGAAGGCGATTAATGAAGAGAAGCATCAACACAAAGCGACTTATTAACTTCTAACCGTTTGCTCGCTGCTCGAAGACAAACTCTTACTGAAGCCGTGTTTATTTTTAAAAGGCACTGATTTGGTTTAGTGAATAAAAATAGATCTTTCAGAGATAAGACAAAGGTTTAAAAATATCACTGAGAGTGTTGTGTACAAATTCATGTCCATGTTGTCTCTACAGGATCATGGACCGTCTCCCTCTGAAAAGCTGTTTGTGTTCTTATTAACGTCCAACGACTCAGAGAGGATCCCTACAAAGAAGAGACCTTTTTGTTACAGGAGATGATTTTCTGTTTTAAGGGCACACTCGACAAAGTTGTCCCATACCGTGCTTAAGAAAGTGGCCCCCCCCCTCCCCTGCTGGCCTGCGGTCACACTGCTCCAGGACTGACAGACTAATCTGCTGCAGACCCTACACTCTGTTTACCTGCTGCAGACGCTACAGTCTGTTTACCTGCTGCAGACGCTACAGTCTGTTTACCTGCTGCGGACGTTACAGTCTGTTTACCTGCTGCAGGCGATACAGTCTGTTTACCTGCAGACGCTACAGTCTGTTTACCTGCTGCAGACGCTACACTCTGTTTACCTGCTGCGGACGTTACAGTCTGTTTACCTGCTGCAGGCGATACAGTCTGTTTACCTGCTGCAGACGTTACAGTCTGTTTACCTGCTGCAGACCCTATACTCTGTTTACCTGCTGCGGACGTTACAGTCTGTTTACCTGCTGCAGGCGATACAGTCTGTTTACCTGCAGACGCTACAGTCTGTTTACCTGCTGCAGACGCTACACTCTGTTTACCTGCTGCAGACGTTACAGTCTGTTTACCTGCTGCAGGCGATACAGTCTGTTTACCTGCTGCAGACGTTACAGTCTGTTTACCTGCTGCAGACCCTATACTCTGTTTACCTGCTGCGGACGTTAGTCTGTTTACCTGCTGCAGGCGATACAGTCTGTTTACCTGCTGCAGGCGTTACAGTCTGTTTACCTGCTGCGGACGCTACACTCTGTTTACCTGCTGCAGACGTTACAGTCTGTTTACCTGCTGCAGACGTTACAGTCTGTTTACCTGCTGCAGACCCTATACTCTGTTTACCTGCTGCAGGCGTTACAGTCTGTTTACCTACTGCGGACGCTACACTCTGTTTACCTGCTGCAGACGTTACAGTCTGTTTACCTGCTGCAGACGTTACGGTATGTTTACCTGCTGCAGACGTTACAGTCTGTTTACCTGCTGCAGGCGTTACAGTCTGTTTACCTGCTGCAGACCCTACACTCTGTTTACCTGCTGCAGACGCTACAGTCTGTTTACCTGCAGACGTTACAGTCTGTTTACCCGCTGCAGACGCTACACTCTGTTTACCTGCTGCAGGCGTTACAGTCTGTTTACCTGCTGCAGACGTTACAGTCTGTTTACCTGTAGACGTTACAGTCTGTTTACCTGTAGACGTTACAGTATGTTTACCTGCTGCAGACCCTACACTCTGTTTACCTGCTGCAGACGTTACAGTCTGTTTACCTGCTGCAGACGTTACAGTCTGTTTACCTGCTGCAGACGTTACAGTCTGTTTACCTGCTGCAGACGCTACAGTCTGTTTACCTGCTGCAGACCCTATACTCTGTTTACCTGCTGCAGACCCTACACTCTGTTTACCTGCTGCAGACGTGACAGTCTGTTTACCTGCTGCAGACGTTACAGTCTGTTTACCTGCTGCAGACGTTAGTCTGTTTACCTGCTGCAGACGTTACAGTCTGTTTACCTGCTGCAGACGCTACAGTCTGTTTACCTGCTGCAGACGTTACAGTCTGTTTACCTGCTGCAGACCCTACACTCTGTTTACCTGCTGCAGACCCTACACTCTGTTTACCTGCTGCAGTCTGTTTACGTGCTGCAGACCCTACACTCTGTTTACCTGCTGCAGTCTGTTTACCTGCTGCAGACCCTACACTCTGTTTACCTGCTGCAGACCCTACACTCTGTTTACCTGCTGCAGTCTGTTTACCTGCTGCAGACGTTACAGTCTGTTTACCTGCTGCAGACGCTACAGTCTGTTTACCTGCTGCAGTCTGTTTACTTGCTGCTGACCCTACACTCTGTTTACCTGCTGCAGTCTGTTTACTTGCTGCTGACCCTACACTCTGTTTACCTGCTGCAGACGTTACAGTCTGTTTACCTGCTGCAGACCCTACACTCTGTTTACCTGCTGCAGGCGTAACAGTCTGTTTACCTGCTGCAGACCCTACACTCTGTTTACCTGCTGCAAACGCTACAGTCTGTTTACCTGCTGCAGACGCTACAGTCTGTTTACCTGCAGACGTTACAGTCTGTTTACCTGCTGCAGACGTTACAGTCTGTTTACCTGCTGCAGACATTACAGTCTGTTTACCTGCTGCAGACCCTACACTCCGTTTACCTGCTGCAGACCCTACACTCTGTTTACCTGCTGCAGTCTGTTTACCTGCTGCAGACCCTACACTCTGTTTACCTGCTGCAGACCCTACACTCTGTTTACCTGCTGCAGTCTGTTTACCTGCTGCAGACGCTACAGTCTGTTTACCTGCTGCAGACGCTACAGTCTGTTTACCTGCAGACGTTACAGTCTGTTTACCTGCAGACGCTACAGTCTGTTTACCTGCAGGCGTTACAGTCTGTTTACCTGCTGCAGACGTTACAGTCTGTTTATCTGCTGCAGACGTTAGTCTGTTTACCTGCTGCAGACGCTACAGTCTGTTTACCTGCTGCAGTCTGTTTACCTGCTGCAGACGCTACAGTCTGTTTACCTGCTGCAGACGCTACAGTCTGTTTACCTGCTGCAGACATTACAGTCTGTTTACCTGCTGCAGCCCTACACTCTGTTTACCTGCTGCAGACGTTACAGTCTGTTTACCTGCTGCAGACGCTACAGTCTGTTTACCTGCAGACGTTACAGTCTGTTTACCTGCTGCAGCCCTACACTCTGTTTACCTGCTGCAGACGCTACAGTCTGTTTACCTGCTGCAGACGCTACAGTCTGTTTACCTGCTGCAGCCCTACACTCTGTTTACCTGCTGCAGACGTTACAGTCTGTTTACCTGCTGCAGACCCTACACTCTGTTTACCTGCTGCAGTCTGTTTACCTGCTGCAGACCCTACACTCTGTTTACCTGCTGCAGACCCTACACTCTGTTTACCTGCTGCAGGCGCTACAGCTCAGAAACCGTCTTGATAAATCATTTATGTTTGCCTGATTAAAATATTAAAAACTTGTTTTCTGCTGCCTGGTAGAGCCTGTGGCTGTGTGGTGCTCGTACCTATGAGGGCCTGGAAGAGGCTGCTCTGGAAGATGTCGATGACCCTCTGGATGGAGTGTCGGAGCTGCCGGTCCTCGGCGTGGTGCAGCTTGGCCCGGTACTCCTCCAGCAGCAGGAGGGCTCGCTGTGCATCTGAAGCGAGGAAGAGGAGGAAGAGGAAGAAGAGGAAGAGGAGGAAGAGGTGAGTCGAGGACACATAGTTCAGTCAGGGTCTTTACCATGAATGAAAAACGATCTGAGACACGGCGATCGCAGGCTGGTCTGAATAAACAGCTGCTTCCCTGCTGCAGTAATCCCTCAGTGATGGAACGACACCGCAGTGTTACACTTAATGCTTCACAAAAAACACAGACAGCGAGGAAATGAAAGCAGTGGTTGGGTTAAGGTCAGTGTTTCAGCAGAGTGCGGCGTCAGGTCGGGTGTGGATGCTTTAAAATTATCATGATTTGCAGAAAAACTCCTGCACACCATCTAAATTGCAAAAAAATAAAATAAAAAAAGAATTGCAATTCGGACAATAGAGGATAAAATGTGTGTAGGCAGACGATTCTGACTGTTTTCTTTAGAGCCCGACCGATTTATCAGCCAGCCGATAATATCATCCGATATCAGCATATCAAGTGGCGATCGGTATCGGCTAATTTTATCTCAGATATGCTCCGACATTTCTAGATTTATTCACCAGTTAAACAGCATTTCATTTGAGTTTCATTGTATAACACTAGCAGTTCTCTTTAACCAGTAGGGGGCGCTATATGGATTACGACAAGCATCATCAATCTTTTCAACAAGTGTTTGATAACTGAGGGATCAACACAATAAATGTGGATATCTAAATCTACAGATTGAACAAAGATCAAAGAAAAATATCGGCCAATTTATCAGTATCTGCTTTTTTTCTCCCCAACATCGATATCAGTATCAGCCCCAAAACATCCCGTATCGGTCGGCGTCCCAGTTTTCTTATCTTACGTCTACTGAGTTAAACAAAATTTAAATTTCCTTTCAACAGACAATTAAATTAGTCAGCCGGGAACATCTCTAGTTAAAATAACGAATGTGTCATTAAAGAAATACCTGTGGCATCGACAGGTTTTGCTGTTTGAATTCAACCGTGCTTTTATTTTGAAATACAGTAAGGCCCTTCTGGTAGAGTGACGGTTAGGACAGGAAGTTAAGCACAGAAACAGGAAGTGGTTAGGGATCAAACAGCTCAAAGGAACGGTAACAAAGGTCAATGTGTGATGTCAAAAGGTCAATGTGTGATGTCATAAGGTCAATGTGTGATGTCATCAGGTGGATATTACTGTCTGAGAGTTTGTTAAAGTGAAATGAGACATTCAAAGATGCAGCAGTGAGACTACAGGGAGACACTGAGGACGAGTATCTACGGAGAGCCTGAAGGGACAAACATGAGATTAATCGAGATTAAAACAAATGAACACATTAATTTGAATGTCGTGACGTTTGATCTACCGAGAGATCCTGACTTTATTTCAAATTAAAAGCAGGGTTGAATTCAAACAGCAAGAAAGGTAAACTCAGATTAAGTCATTTTTTGCTATTTTATTTTTGAATGTGAAAAAAAAAAGAATTT